GAACTTCAAATTGATCTTACTCTAGTTGTAATTCAAAAACCAAAACAAAGTTTTATATAATCATCCATCTATTATTAAATAGAGATTGGCTATACGCACAGTGGTTGTGTATACAACAAAAGTGCTTTCGAAATTATATACACAGCTGCTGTACGTATAAGATCCATTCTGTCCCTTATTTATATACACAGCCGAGGTGTGTATAAGACCTGTTAAGGCCATTATATTCACAGCCGCTGTATGGACAGAATTCATATTTTGGTGTTATGCCTACCTGGTTTTATGCGTTTCTGTTGTTTTTTTCTGATCATGTAAATTCCTGCCGCACTGTGTGTTGGCTGCTTGCAACCGCATCAAACCAAAACGCCCACCCGAAAAATGGCGTAGCACTTGTAAGGCTTTCGTAAAAAAAAGGAAAGCATTAAAATCATTCAGCAAAACATGCCAATTATACAACTCCAATACAGTTTCATAATTTCTTTGACTAATATTAATAAAAAATGTATTATTTATGCAGTAGTTATAATTCTGCGCATCTATTTCCCTACAGATTTTGTGCACACAAATTTGAGCTACTTTTTGAGGTATTATCTGTGCAATTAAAAAACTTGACAGTATGGATTAGGCGAAACTTTTTTTATACCTTGTTTAGCGAACCTGCCGACTGCAAATATTGATGATTTTGAATATTAAATAAAATTTTATTTTTGGCCAATTAGTGCACCAGCCACCACGAAAAAGTGGAAATTTCATTTTTATTACGCCGTATGCTGCCTTGAAATCTCCATAAGATAAGATGCATATTTCTTCTTAATTATATAAATTTGAGGCATTTAACCATTCTATTTTACATTCAGAAATAAAATTTTATTTTTATTTTCTCCTCCGTCTGTATGATTTTGGCAAATCTATTTGCTAAATCAGAAAACAACAAATTAATTTTTATTTTTATTCCACCCTCCTTCGATAATCTTTAAAAAAATATGTATGCGAAACAAGGAATAAAAAAAATTCTCGCCTTAAGTGAACATAATCAAATCACATCTATATTTAAAAACTCATATAGAGAGATCAGAGTAGTATATATGGAATTAGACCTTTGGAGGCAAAGCCTTTTTTTAACATAATATAACAGTATTAATACAAGCATGGTCACCTAAAAAAAAGTGATGTAGTAATAAAAAGTTAGCAATTAAATGCAATGTAGTGAAGTTAACAATACACTTTTTTATAGGCAGAAGTTGCTTAAAAAATAAGAATAACATAACAAATTAAGGCTGAGGTAAAATGTCAAATGAGGTTTTAATTTTTTTTTAAATAGAAAACCAACAAATCTTATCTGTAGTCTGTACCTTATTTACAGTGGCCTAGGCCTAGCCCTAGCTGGGCCTATGTGTAGGTACGTGACTATCGGCCGTTGAGAGCGTGATACCATGGCACCAACTATCGTTTTCTGCAGCAATTTAACTGTCTGGACAGCCCTCTATTGTTTTGGCTGCAAAGGTCATATTTATTTTTTCCCTATGACCCAAAAATACTGATGACGTAGTTCACATTTTCCTCTTTGACTTCGTCATCAAACCAATTTTTCGCCAAGTGGGTGAATTTATTGCCGAAGATTTTGGTTGTAAAAAACTTGCAATTACTTCATAGAAGAAGTTTATTTTGTTCTGAAACCAGTTTATTGTGTTAGTTTATATATTCATCCACAACTGGGTGCAATATTTAGTTTTTTTTAAACACCGAAACCTTGTTTTTGACCGTAAATAAAAATTTGTTTGTGAATGGAAATTCCCCAAATCTATCAGTTTGTGTGGTACAGGCTGACGTCATGCACATCTGGTCTTGCTGCAATCATATGCAGCAATTAGTCACAATAATTAATTAAATTATTATTAAATTAATAAATGATTGAATTTTAAGGATTTTCACAATTCTGTTTTTTCCTTGTTGCATGCTTTCAAATTCTTTTATTTTATTGAAATATGTCTAAAAACAAAGAAATTAAAGCAATTTTTGATAATTTTTCAAGAAAAAGTCACATACTTTACTATTGTTTACATTGGTTTTGAAGGACCAAAATTAGGCATATGATAAATTAATAATTTCTTAAATTTGGTAGCTTTGTTGATATTTGAAGGGGGACAATGATCTTGGTATCAATGTAATGCTACATTAATGCTCTTTCAAATGGTACTGGCTGCAAAGGAATTCCTTGCATTTGAATTTTTTTTTTTCACTTACCTACTACTAGGCCTAGGCCTACTGTATATGTGTGACTAGGCTTAGCCTAATAACCTCTCTATAGGCAGGCCTATTATTATAATATACAACAGTAATATATTATTATAGGCCTAGGTCCTCTAGTGCAATCTGGTTCGGCAAATTGGGTTTCGGCAATCTCGCCTAGGCCTAGTAGTTACCATAGACCCTTAAAAGCCATGAAGGTCAGCATTAAAAGCCCAGGGCCCCAGCATACAAGCAGGGCATGTTGTTACAAGCAAGGGGATGCTGTTGAATCGCAGCATCCCTGGCCCTGCTGGATCCTAGGCCTACCCTAGGCTTAAACCTAGAACTTACTAGTCAATAGCATTAAATCAGAAATTAAGTACACTCAGTGAGGTACTACTATACTTGAAATCGTAATTATGTAGCTATAACTGTAACTATATGCTAAGAAATAGATAGATAACCAACAAAATAAGTCCCACTTACAAGTAGCCATTTTGATTTGATGGATAACTTTTCGTTGATGCTGCCCTCAACGTTCACAAGCGCCACAGTTTTCCAGAATGTAGATTTTTTTTTCAATCAGTCAATTTCTAATGTTGTTTTGTCAAAAAAAAATATATAAATGGAGTCATCAGCGCCATTCTAAAATCTGGAGTATAGGCCTAAGTTATTGTCTTGCAGAAACTGTTTACTGTATTAATCATTATTGAACAACTTCTAATCTACCAAACTTGACTGCGTAAGGCCCATAAAATAGCCTATGTACCGTCTCCGAATTCTCCAGAGAACAAACCTGATTGTTAGTAATCCGTATTACGGATTACGGAACATATACTTTATTGGCACTAATGGGCTTTCGTAACAAACAGACGCTGACTCCAAACACCTTGAAACTAATCCTGAATATTGTTTGATGGTTGCCATGGCGATGTAAAAATATATTAAATGCTTGTGGTACAACCACGTAGATAGTTCTTAAAAGAACTGTTGTTTTGTTGAAAATAACTGGACGTTTCGATTGAGAATTGCTTCAATGATTATCTTCGCGGGGTAGGAGAATAATGCCTCTGCAGAGAGTCCAAACAGAGCAGGGGATGATTGGATAGTGAGCTGCCTTTACTTTTTTATTTGGAACCACTTTTATAACAGTGGTTCACATCCAAAATGATGGTGCATCCATCAACAGTAAATTGAAAAGAAAACTCAAAACTAAAATCATTACAAGACAAAATGTTTGGAAAAAAAGCAAAATGACAAAGTTTCGTTATACAAATTCATTAAAATAATAATAAGAAACAAAAATCATAATCATAAAGAAAATAAAAAACTGGTGGTATTTAGATATAATTGTTTTTATAGATATTTGATCTCATATTTCATGCGCTTGTTGAATATATATTTTTTTTAACTTTATATATACAGTAGGTTATTTTATTAGCATACTGTAATGTATAAATTTTAATGTAAAGCTCAATAATTTATTTAGGCCAATATATATATATATATATATATATATATATATATATATATATATATATATTATTTATGCCAATTTAAAAGGAAA